ACATAGAGCACATTGCAGTAATCTATGCGGGATGTTACCAGTGCATGTGTAACTGTCATGAGACTCCGCTCGTCCAGGTAGGGCTGTAGCTGGTACAATTTTCACAGCTGAAGCAAGGCGCCTCTGGCCACCGAGTCCACCTGGGCTTCCAGAGTTAGACTGGGGTCCAGGAGCACCCCCAGACCCTGTCCCTTAGGGGGAGAGCAACCCCATTTAGGGCAGGAAAATGGCCCTCCAGCCTGTCTGGCGAAGCACCCACTAACAGCACTTCCGTCTTGTCTGGATTGAGTTTCAGTTTATTAACCCTCATCCAGTCCATTATCAGGTCCAGACACGAGTTCAGCACAGAAACTGCCTCACCTGGATTGGTGGAAAACGACATGTAGAGCTGAGTATCGTCAGCATATTGCTGACTCCTCAGCCCAAACCTCCTGTTGACCTCTCCCAGCGGTTTCATGTAGATGTTGAACAGCATTGGGGACAGTATCGAGCCCTGAGGAACCCCATGACATTAACACCATGGGGCAGAGCAAATGTCCCCCAGCACCACCTTCTGGACACGGTCAGCCAGGAAGGAGCAGAACCACCGTAAAACAGTGCCCCCAACTCCCAACCCAGCCAGCCTATCCAGAAGGACACCATGGTCAATGGTATCGAAAGCCACTGAGAGGTCCAGGAGTATCAACAGGGTCACACTCCCCCTGTCTCTCTCCCGGCAAAGGTCATCATACAGGGCGACCAAGGCAGTCTCTGTACCAAAACCCGGCCTGAAACCCAATTGAAATGGATCCAGAAAATCCGTTTCATCCAGCAGCGCCTGGAGATGCCCAGCACAACACACTCCAACACTTTGCCCAAATAAGGGAGGTTTGCCAATGGTCAATAGTTAACGAACAGCCTTGGGTCCAGGTTAGGCTTTTTAAGGAGTGGTTGAATTACCGCCTCTTTCAAGGTGGTAGGGACCACTCCCTCTCTCTCAAAGAGGCGTTCACAGACTCATGGACCCAGGTGCGAACCCCTCTGGCTGATCTTCTAATTAGCCAGGATGGGCAAGGGTCGAACGGAGTGGTGATAGAACGGACAGATCCAAGCACCCTGTCCACATCCTCGGGTCTCAACAATTGAAACTCATCCATTAATACTTGACCTAAGCACGGCACACTGGACCCATCCTCTGATTCTGCAGCAATGATGGAGTCCAACCCACTGCGAATCTGAGCAATTCTTCCCTCAAAATGAATGGCAAACTCGTCACAGTGAGCTGATGAGCAGTCCAGGACCTCCACCAGATTTCCCGGCTGAAGAAGGTCCCGGACCACCCGAAACAGCTCTCTGGACGACATTCTGAGGAAGCAATCTGGCTGGACAAACATTGCCATTTTGCCAGCCGTATTGCCACCAAATAGGCTTGATAATGGGCTCTAAGTCGTGTTCAATCGGGCTCCCAGCGGGATTTCCTCCACCTGCGCTCCAGCCGTCTCCCCTCTTGCTTCACCGTCCAAGTGTCCAAAAATACAGGACAAAGTTTCTGTGACTGTGGAGAAATTCAATCCATGCAGCACTTATGAGCATGCAATTTATGCCCCGCCACATGGACAAAAGAAGATCAAGCCAATGGCCGAGATAACGCTATGGTAGTCCACTTCTGGTCAAAAAATTATCCACTTATCTTAATGTTTTAATTTGTCTTTAATTTTAACTATATTTCATATACATCCATAATTTTTGAACTGAGATAACGCTATGGTAGTCCAATTCTGGTCAAAAAATTATCCACTTAATGTTTTAATTTGTCTTTAATTTTAACTATATTTCATATACATCCATAATTTTTGAACTGTGCAATGTTCTAATTAAAAAAAATAACCTGAAAACTACTTCTGAACAATTGGTACAGGAATGGTAAGCCATAAGGATATATATTTTTAAAAAGAAAGAAACTGAATCAGGGCTTGGAAACATTGCTTTTCTAGACTACCTCTCCCAGAATCCCCCGACCAGTGTGGGGGAACAGGAGAACGGGAGTCCCGGGAAGTAAAGCTTCTCTGCTCACCACTGAACACCCGACACCAAAGATAGTGTGAAGTCCTGCTTGCTTCCCACTCGCTCTCTGAAAAAGCAGAATCAGGCGAGCGCCGTTGCTTCGTCCATGGGGCAGGAGTTTTCTTCTCCTTAACGACCACAAAGCAGCGTACAAGACCAAGCGATGTATTTCTAAAATGCAAAGAAGAAGAAGAAGAAGAAGAACCCCAACACCAAAGATAGTGTGAAGGCCTGCTTGCTTCCCACTCGCCCTCTGAAAAAGCAGAATCATCCACGGGGCAGCAGTTTCCTTCTCCTTAATGACCACAAAGCAGCGTACAAGACCAAGCAATGTATTTCTAAAATGCAAAAAAAGAGGAGAAGCAGAAGGTGAGGAGGATGATTTGACATGCTGTAGAGCACCCCTAACTTTTCTGACCCACCGTTCTTAAATTCGGGGTATTTGGGCACTAGGAGGCCGACCGTCCGCATGGCGCATGGCTCCCCAGCCAAGCCCTGCTGCCTTGCATGGACCCTCGTCAAGACCAGCCTCGCCAGAAGACCATGGTAGCCAAAAGAGCAGAAGCACGCCCATGGAGGCAGACGCCAACCCTGTCTCCAGCAAACTGGAGATTGTGGGTTTTTTCGGTCCGATGGCTCCCACTCACTGAGGACATGAAGCCAGGGGTCAATGTCCTGAGTCTCTCTGGTTGGCAGAAACGCAGACCTCATCATCCACCACCCTCTGCTCAGGCTTTCCTGTTCCCCCCTGTTCTCACAGGAGCAGAAAGAAAGTGGGGTTTTCCCAGGAAAATGTGCGCTTCCGTCAACGCCTCCCAAGTGGCCGATGACTGGTTTGCAGTCCACATTTCTTCCCAGGCAGGAGCCCAAAATTATTAAAAACCAATCAATAATTACAAATATTATGAATAATATATAAATGACCCTAATATAAACTCAATGATTATTGTTAAATAATATTCATATTGTGAATGTGACTATTAAAATGTTAACAGTATTAAAATATCACTTTTAAACCGTTCAGAACATTTTTGGGGGAACACATTTGAGATAGGAAAAGTGACAACATGCATGCCTCTCGTCCAGGACCTAAAGAGGACAGGCATTTGGGGTTGGACAGCCGGGAGGGAGGGGGTCCCCTCAGAAGATGGCTGTGCAGACCCCAAGAAGGGTCCTTTCTCCTGAAGATGTAACACTCCAAGGAGATTCGTGTGCATAACATTTGAGGATGGGTTTGGTCTTTGAGGAGCAGTCAAGAGCCGTTAATTTCGCAAAAGACCTGCTCCTCATTTGTCATCGATGTGGACTGATCCAGTTTGCCTGCCCTTTTAGACTCCTTATGGGCAGAGGAACTGGCTATGAGAACTATCACAAGGAGCACCGGTACTGCCAGTTTCTCCACGATACCACTGCTTCTCCCAAACTTAGTTTTATAGCAAGTAAAGGTCCACGTTTCTTACCCCAGTGATGGCCGTCTGGCGACAAGTCCCACAGGAATAGCCTATGGGGAAAGTCAGTACGGCTCCAGTCTGCAACTGGGCTGGAGAAGGAAACAAAAAGGAAAGGAAAAGTCATCATCTCAAAATGCCTTCTGTAAATGAAACACCGTAGCATGCATGTCTGTGACAGATCAAGTGTCATTAGAGCGCTGCCCGAGGCAAACTTTGGTGTCACGGCCATCATATTTACCCCCTGGTGACTATTTGCAAAACAAAGGAGAGGAGAGGAGAGGAGGAGAAAATGACACACAGGGAAATACTTAAGGAGTTCCATCCTCTAGCCAGGCTCGCCTATAACTACTATTTTGGCCCTATGGAACAAAGCAAAAGAATAAAAAATTTAAAAAGCAGAGCGTGCTGCCCCATAGCGTTTAAAGGACTCTCTAGGTGGTTATCCATTTAATTGTACAGGCTACAGAATGCCCCTTCCCTCCCTGCCCCCCACAACCTCGGAATGATGGAAGGCTGAGTGAACCTTTAAGCTGGCTACCTGGGATTGAACCTGGCCGTTTGGCAACAAGTCCCACATGATCAGAACGGCTGTCCCGGATGGAGAAGGGGTCCTTCTGATTCTCAAAGCAGCATCCTCAGCAGGTTGAAAGGGGGGAGCGCCACTTACGGCAGACGCACACCCGCTCCCGGGGCAGCTCAGTGGGAGGGAGCATTGCTTGCCACCCGTAGACGGCAAGCGCCGAAGCTAACTTTTGTTCTCTGCCATCTTCAGATGGCATGCATGCCCAGGGCATGGCTGGCTCGTAGGCTGACCTTCCAATCAGCTAGGAACCCCAGGGCTGGTCAGGATGGGCAACGAGCAGGAATGCTCAGGCCACCCAGCGGGAGCAGCTCTGTTGGGTCGCACGCGTGGAACAGATCCCGCTCTGTCCCACCGTCGTTCCTTGCACTTGCGATTCGGAACGAGAGGTGGGCCCTCCCCAAACCAGAAACCAGGGGAAAAAACTGGGCTGGGTTTATGGTTCCATTCAGAAATCCTGTTTTGCCAAAAGGAAACAAAGCGCTGAGCTTTCACACACACACACACACACACACACACACACACACCGCTCCAGGTTACTTCAGCAAAAGGAAATGCCCACCCCTCCCCCTGCCCAAATCTTGCATGAACCTCCCCAAAAATTCTAAATGCAACCTGGTTCATTTTGAGGGAGGAGGGGTTCGTAATAGTTCGTGGTGCATGAGTAGCCACGAGCCACAAGCCATCACGAACCACCGGTTTTCCAGTGCCTGCCCATCTCTCGTTGTAACACCAGCCACGCACAAGGGGTGTGTGTGAAAAGCAGCAGATCCCCTGGCCTGGCAGGCTAGCACCTTGGCATAGAAAGTTGGGTGCTTTGCACCTGGCGACTGAGACCTCTTCACCCCCATCCCCCAGTTCCTTGCAAAAGCACCCAGGCAGCCCCACACATTCCTTCTGACTTTGCAACAGGGGGCCACAGGGTGTCAAGCAGTGATGTGGGAGCCCTGCCCCACGTAGCCCACACGTTCCATCTGATGAGGTACGGGAAGGAGTCCCTGGAACTCTGGAAGACACGACCTTGCTGATTGGCCTCGGTAAGACTCACCACCTATCATATCCTTGCAACGGGAGGTGAGCTGCAGCACTTCGTCTATCGCAGAGCTCTGCAAAAAGGAAACCCGTCAGGTGTCAAGAACAAGGAGGAGGAATCGCATAAGTGTCACCTCCGGATTGACAAAGCCAGCTTTCTGTGTGGGGCCTCCTGGGGAAAAGAGTGAGGGCTCTGCTTTCAGGAGATGAGTGGGAGACCCAATCCCCATCGCTCTTCGACAGATTTATTGGAAGCCGTTGGTGACGACCGAGGAAAAGCCAGGGAGAGGGGCAGTCGTTTCCCCCACATCCTAGGGCAGAAGCATCCTACCCTCCTCACTGCACAGAAAAGGAGGCAGGGATCAAGTTTGGGGCAGGAAACCAAGAACAGCAGTGTTCCTCTCCTCGCCATCACAGATGGCAAGGTCTCTTGTGGCGCTCTTGAAAAAGTTATCCCATGGGGAAAGGATGAGGGTTTTGTGCACAAACAAGTCCCTTTGGTTCCAAATAGTCCTTTTTTTGGTACAAAGCTGTGTGATTCACACCATGCCCAAAACTGGGGTGACCGCTGGTTTGTTTAAGGATCTGAAGCACGGGATGGCTTATTTGAGTCTTTCTTGACCATCAACCTGTCTTTTTTCTGTGCCTGCGCTTTGATAGGCAGCTTCAAGGACTACCTCTCTCATTGGTGCAAGAAATGGGCAGCCCAACAACAGAGACCTTGGGTGGGGAGGGAGAGAGCTCTCTGTCGGTGCAAGAAATGGGTGCAGCCCAACTACTGAGACCTCGGGTGGGGAGGGAGAGAGCTCTCTGCCTCACTCTTGGCTGGGGGGGTGAGGAATCTCAAGGAGTTTTTAAATCCTCCGTGGGTGAGAGCCTCAGCAACCATATAAAAAGCAGAGGTGTCGGTAGGCTGTGAGGAAACCCTTAGACTCTTCAACTGAGGATCCCTGCCCATGTTTCTGGAGGCAAAACCTCTGAAGCACCTTTGAGTTTTGCCCCACTGAACCTAGGGAGAAATGGGACTGAGTGGAGTCAGCGCCCGTAAGGCACCCAGGGGGGGCCCCGACCCGCCCATTAACTTACCACCCAATACTTACTCCGATTGAGCAGGCTACACCTTTACACGTGGTTGTAATCTGGATATCCCTAGGGGGCGGAGGAGCAAAAGATAGGAGGTCAAACCAGCTTCCTCTTGAGCCCACACCCTCGAGCCCACACCAACCCCTAACGTTTTTGTGCCTTCGCACCCTGAGCTTTGAACCTCTTTCTTGAGAGGGAGGCCCCTCCGAAGCTGAATAAGAAGGTATGGGGTAAGGCAAAACGGAGGTTCATTCTTTTGTTTCCAGAGAGCCCTCTAAAGAATGGTGGTGAAGAGCCCAGGACTGGCCAAGGGGATGGAGGTAAACAGACACATAAGCCATCCATCCTTTTCTGGAGCCTTACAGCACCTTGACCAGCCATGCACCCAGCTCTTGGTACCACCAGCCAAACCCAGCTGTCCGTGCTTGGATTACTTACACTGAAACAGCCAACGAGGCCACCAGCCATCCCCTTGGGCAATCAATGGCCAGAGAAAGGGCGAATTTAGTGATCTGAAATGGGAGAACACAAGATGTCAAGAAGGCCACCGAGAGCCATTTCCGCCCTGCTTGATGAACCTACTCAAGAGGCCTGCAATGAATGTACTCCACATAACCCTCCACCAGAGAGAGAGAGCCTCAGAAAGTTTTAATACGTCCAGAGATCCACATGGAGAGAAACAGACCAAATGACAGCTTTGCAACCAGAAGCAGAGCTGGCTTAAGAAGAAAAAACTTGATCGTCTTGCAGTGGGACTTGGCATCTCCACAAGCTGCAAATCAGATTGCTCTTCTTTGGCGGCTCCTTGTTAGTAGGTAAACAAGAGGCTTCCTCTATATCTTGTCTGTGCTTGGAAGAATGCATCTGTGGATGATGCTTCATCAGCTTCTATTTCTGAAGCTGTCATTTCGTTAGCCAGATTTTCCAAGAGACCCACCAAACTCCAAGCAGAGGCCAATACAGATGAAATGGTATAAATGGAAATAACAGCTCCTGCAGCTTTAGGGATATTGCAGACACAATGTGTTGCAGAAACAAAGGCATACTGTGATCATCATGGAAGCCCCCAGCTTCACTAAAATGTCCCAGTTTCCAATTATCAACCGACTCAAAATCAAGGACTGTACAGAGGATGTCTGCCTGGCTTGGCACAATGATCTACACAGAATCCCCACCAACATCACCAAGAGCTTTTTATTTTCACATAAGCATTTACCTCCACCCCAGCCAAAAAAAATTCAGTTCCAAAAAAAAAGATCATGAGCTGGGGAAGAGAACTTGTGCAGAGCGAGGAGCTGCCTCTATCTGGACAGCAAGCAGAGATTTCCAACTGTACGGGGCCAGGAGTGAAGCGTTAAACCACCCACCACCGCCTGCCTGTAAGCAGCTTTGAACTTTTGCCACGAATTTTTGGAGACATTCCTATATAATTTTTCTCCACTATTCACAAGTCACTAGCACCTGCCTGAAGAAGGGATTTTCAATCCACAGAAGCCCCAATGAATTGTTTGATGACATTTTTCTTTTCAGTGGTTCCATCAAGGGGGCACATTCTTCTACATATGAACTATGGAAGAGGTGGGGGCACCACAGAATCGGTCAGGAATTTACCAACGGGCAACATGCGTAGGCATCAGAAGTCTTCTTCTTGGGCGGACCTGTAGCTGAGAGCATGTGGTAGTGCCTGGGCCTCCTGACTAGCCCTCTGTCCGGTCATCTATCTCTGCTTACCAGGTCAACATGCAGCAGAGTCGTGAACCCTCCTCCTGGCGTTTCATATCCAACATCCACGTGAACGTGGAAACACAAGAGGGCACCACTGGGAGTCATCTCGACGAATATTTCTGCAAATATAAATTTCAACCCGATAGGAAGTCCTCCTGGGCAGGTAATCTGTGGAAGAAGAAGGTAACGTATATATATGGCTCGGGGCCAAGGCTTCTCACAGATGGGAAGGGACACCCAGAGACTGCAGGCAGCCAGATTTTTGTTGTTTTTTTTAAATAGGACAAAGTCACAGGAAACTAACAGGCAGAGCAACAAGGTCACGAGAGAGACAAATGAAGAGGTTCTAGATCAAACCAAGCCTGAATGCTTTGTAGAGGCCAAAAAAGAAGACAAAATTGAAGTTGTTGTACTTTGGGCACATCATGAGAAGATATAACACGCTGGGAAATTCGATAAAGTTAGGGAAAAGGGAAGGTAAGAGGAAAAGAGGAAGACCAATCACGAGATGGTCTGACCTCCTAAAGGAATCCACAGCCTTGAGTTCATAAGCCTTGAGCCGGACCTCAGGACATTATGGAGCTCATGAATTCGTAGGTTGGGCATCAGTTAGAACCAACCTTACGTCACGTAACAACAAGGGGAACAAAGTGTTTTTGCAGCCTTGCAGAGAAAACCTGCTGCTTTCTGAACCCTGGAACAAGCAAAAGGATCTTGCAAGTGCTGGAAATATCTAACAAGGAACCCATACAGTGAGGAAAGCATACCATGGTGGATTCTCCACTCACTGCACAAGCTGCTCTCCCAAATTGGCATGAGAGATCATCTTTCATTGGAGGTTTGCCACTGGTGGTTCCCTTCTACTTCGGGAGCCTTACTTGATGGCTGGCTGGCTTTCTCTCCTCCTGCTGTTCTAATTTTTAAGCTGCGCATTTACAGTTTTGGTCACTTATATAACAGTCCCTTCGCTTTCTTGAATACAAAAAACTTAAGCAACAGCGCCACAAACCGCCCCAAAAGATGCACTAGTAACAACTGGGGCACTCTCCGACAGCCACTTGGCCCCCGTTTGATCTAAACCACCCTGCAAACGTGCGCTGCTCTCCCCTCCTGGCCTCCCACCTCACCCACAGCTCCTCCTGGGAAGGGCACATTTTGTACAGATCCTGTCACAGCACCAAAAAAAAAAAGAGCTGCATGTATTCTCATCTGTTGAGGGATCAAAAACCCTTTTCTTCTAGGCTGGGAACATACCTACGGGTGGGCAGCTAATGTGATCCACCCTCTGAGGCCAGCCCCAAAGAGCCCCTATTGAGACATAATAGCCAGAAAGAATTGCAAACGTACCTCTGGAAAGCGCTCCATGATTATTGTTGTGGTCACAGTCGTCTGTAGAAAAAAGAATATATATTTTTAAAAATGGTTTCTTCTACAAAACTCTGGGATTCTGGCAGAACTGGACCAAGCGGCAGGCTTTTTACACTTTTTCTATTTTCCCGAGTGGGGTTGGGTTCATATCCAGGCACTGAATCTTTCATCTGACTCATAAGTTCAATTATCTAATTGCTGGTGGCAGAAAGTGAGAAGGAATTAAAGAACCTCGTAATGAGGGTGAAAGAGGAGAGTGCCAAAAATGGTCTGAAGCTCAACCTTAAAAAAACTAAGATCATGGCCACTGGCCCCATCACCTCCTGGGAAACAGAAGGGGAAGATATGGAGGCAGCGACAGATTTTACTTTCTTGGGCTCCATGATCACTGCAGATAGTGACAGCAGCCACAAATTTAAAAGAGGCCTGCTTCTCAGGAGGAAAACGATGACAAACCTAGATAGCATCTTAAAAAGCAGAGATATCACCTTGCGGACAAAGGTCTACATAGTCGAAGCTATGGTTTTTCCAGTAGCAATGTACGGAAGTGAGAGCTGGACCATAAAGAAGGCTCACCGCTGAAGAATTTATGCCTTTGAATTGTGGTGCTGGAGGAGGCTCTAGAGAGTCCCCTGGCCTGCAAGGAGAACAAACCTATCCATTCTGGAGGAAATCAACCCTGAGTGCTCCCTGGAAGGACAGATCCTGAAGCTGAGGCTCCAGTACTTTGGCCATCTCATGAGAAGAGAAGACTCCCTGGAAAAGACCCTGATGTTGGGAAAGTGTGATGGCAAGAGGAGAAGGGGACAACAGAGGACAAGATGGCTGGACAGAGTCATCGAAGCGAGCAACATGACTTTGACCCAACTCCGGGAGGCAGTGGAAGACAGGAGGGCCTGGCGGGCTCTGGTCCATGAAAAGTCGGACATAACTTAACGACTAAACAACAACATCTAATGGCTGGATGTCCATGAAATGCATTAGGACCCCTAATGTTTCCATCAACGCCCGAGGGATCAGATCGGTCGCTACTTTTCATTTCAAATGGGAAATGTCATTGGTTTCATCAGATGTTCTCTCCGGATAAGAGGCAACACTTACCGTGATGACACTGTTAAGATTCCCATTCCCCATCATCACCTCCAGGCAATGATCGAAGTAAACCTTCGTGATAAAGAAAGTTATAGAATTTGGGTCTGAGCTTCCAGAGATCGTCAGGTCGTAGGAATGGGTGGGGTAGGGCACCGCGACGCCTCCGCAGGTAAAACTCGGCTGTGGGGACAGGGAGAGAAAGACTCAGCCACTCATTGCTCTTCCTGATCGAACTGCAATCTGATTGACCAGGCCTAGAAAGGGGCAGACAATCCTCAGGAGGTCGAACCTCCCCGTTCGGCTACCACAATCAACCAGGCGATTCTGGGAGGCCTATAGGCAATGGAAGCCGAGGGCAACCACGCTCCGTGTGGGAGGTAAATCAATCAGCACTGTGCCGCAGCCATTTCACACATTAAAAATATGCCCAGTGCCCCCTCCCTCTGATACAAAGCTGGGCAATTCCTGGCATTTGGACCACGACCAACAGCTATCATTTCCCATCTTTATATTGTTCAAACACGCAGGCTGTGGCTGATGACAGAATCTTCAGAGTGTGGCATAAAATGGCCCAACATGATTTCATGCATTGTGTGAATGGCGCAACTTGCAAAAAAAATTTCAATCGCAAGGGCCTTTTCTATCTAGATTTTTTAAAGCAAAAAGCAGTGGATGGCTTGTTTGTACCTTTTGGGTTGATCGGTGACGCTTCCTCTGCTTTCTGTGTCCTTTGCTTCAGAAAGCGAAAGGACATTCGTTACAGTCAGAGGTATTTTGGGCTAAAATATGGAGACTTTAATGGTGGGGAGTACTCCTTCCCTCCTTGCAAGAATCTTCTGGGGGGGAGAAGTACTCCTTCCCTCCTTGCAAGAATCTTCACAGGGATTCATGAACACTTTCAAGCCAACTTGCAACCTCACCTCACAAACAGTCTATCTTGATAAACATGAACAATTCAATGAGAAATGTCACACTCTCACTCTTTATGTACCCAGAGATGGAAATACCATCATTTGTCCCTCACCTAGCTGTGTTCAGATGCTTCTGAATGTGGAGGTTCTATTTAGTCTACAGATAGACTTCCACGATATTATCTGATCCCTTTGGAAGGCCATCCAAGCCAAAGTCAACCACCCTATAGTTTGTGGGATGGTCTGAAAAGTGGAGATGGGCTTTCTGTCATCTGTCCAGATCATGAACTCCATGTCTCCACCTGGTGGCCACTTGTGGCATTGCACCCTTATACTCCATGTGATTTTTTTAAAAAAACAGATATTCAAATAATACCCTGGTACCTGTCAGGGGATGTTGCAGGAGCATTTGGAATGGAATTTATTGCTACCATTAAAAACTACCATTCTCCTTTGCCACTCACCTGAGGCCTCCACTATCACAGACTATCAAAAGAAAACAGATGCTTTTTATGGAGTCGGAGGTTCCCAATTGTGTGCTGACTAAAAGTGAAATTTGTGACTGTATAAGTCATGAAAAAGAACAGTCCAAAAAAGAGGCATTGTGCCAATTTCTCACCCAGTGTTAAGCACAAAGTGCACTGCATACACTGAAATTTAAAAGCAGAAAAGTGTTTGGAAACAAGAAAGAAGAACTTCAGAAGCACCTCAGTTCCATGCTAAAATACCACCAAAATCCAGTACATGTCCTGCTTTCTTGCAATCATGGTGACACATACTGGGAGAGAATTAATGAACCCATGCCTCACCGGGAGGAAGAAGAGAGGACGGGCCTTCCCTCTTGGCCCCATGATACTTCCAAGTGGGGCACCATGTCCTTGCAGGTGGCACATGTTCTGGACCCCAGTGGAAATGTCCAAGGGCACCATCCGTAAGCTGGTGCCTCCAGGTGCCCCCAATACCACGCAAGCAATGGCTGCCTGGAGATGCTCGGGGGGGGGCTCCAGTGTAACCCACCAGGAGAGAGTCCCAGAGGGCGGAAGGCTCTGCCAGGGTTCAGAGAGCTTCCATCCTGGATGGCAGAGATACTTCATCTGCCCACAACCCAAAGGCCCCCTCCCCCTTAGAAATCACCGTGATGGCACGAAATCACTCACGGAGAAATAAAGCACCAGAGAGGTGCTCGTGGCGACGGGGTTGTGCGCGACGTACAAGCACTGGCAACCAGGAAAGAAAGGGTGCGGACCTGCAGGAAGAAGAGACACCCCGGGTGAAATATCTGGCAGAAAGCAGATCATGGCAAAGCCAAGACAACTGGCATCATCCTCCCAAAGGGCCAGGCCTTCGAGCCCGGGAAAACTCCCGCTAACAAAACGGGCAACGGCAGTTGCCCTACAGCAAACATGGGCTGGCAAAATATCCGCTCCCCCTGCTTCAGATGGCTGCCTATTTTAAGGAAGCCCCGTGAAGGCTACATCCTGTTACAAACTGAGCACCACTACAGGCAACAGGGGTCTCGAACTGGGGGAGGAGAAGAGGCAGAAAGGCAGCCAGGGACTGCCAAGGATCGCTGCCTTTGCCCCGCTCTCCATTTTTTCCTAACTACTTTTTGATACAATACTTCTTCTGTTCTTTGGGTTTACTTCCTTCCTGTTTCTTCTGTAAAACCAACTTGCTTTTCCTTCGTTCCTTCCATCCTTCCTTCTATCCATCATCATCTCCTTCCTTCTATCCATCATCCTCTCCTATCCATCAACTCCTTCCTTCCTTCTATCCATTATCATCATCATCCTCATCATCTCCTTCCTTCCTTCCTCCCTCCCTTCCTTCCTTCTTTCATCAGCTCTTTCCTTCCTTCTATCCATCATCATCATCATCTCCTTCTATCAATCATCATCTCCTTCATTTCTTCCTTCTATCCATCATCCTCCCTTCCTTCTGTCCATCATCATCTCCTTCCTTCCTTCTTTCCTTCATCTTTCTTTCTGTCTGCCCTTCTTTGGATCAGCGTGTTGTATCAGAGCCAGTATCAATCCTACATTAATAGCTACATCCACTTGTTTGGCACGTGCTCCTTTGTGCCATACGGCACTAGCATCTTCTGCTATGGCGTAGCAGAGCAACTTTCCAAAATCTTGCCTTTCAAGCTAACTCAGCGCTTCCCCTCTGCTTTTCTGTTCTGAAACACAGACTTGTGTTTTTCGAGGGTTTGGTTTCAGGTGGCTGCATTTGCATTGTACAGTATAGGGAAAGATCTAATGCAGGTACTCCCATAAAAGCATGAAAGAGACAGGGATATTGCAAAACCGAAGCCTCCTCTGGTGAAAAAAAACCTGTGTACCCTTCTTTCCACAGCATACACGATTCCATAAAACTCAGCTCAAAATTTGGGATACAGGAAAAACTTGTATCGTTCCCTGAATAATCAGAAGGTGTTTCGCATGGGCAGATATAACTTCGCCAACACTGTATACCAAAAAAAAATGTATATTAGGGGACTTGTGTTCAAGCCACATAGATTAGGCATACAACACGAGGTGCAATTATAAAGGCACATTTCTGTGTGTTGTGTGTACATTTTTTTTCCAATCGGGTTATGGTAGGTGTTGAACCAGCCGTCTTACGACTCCGCACATGTCAAATGTGGCTATAAATAGATTTCCGCGCCCCTTCCACCCTCCCGTAAATCATGGCCCCTGACAGATAGGCTATTAATATTCTATTCCTTTTTAATATATCTGCTGTTGGAGCATAAATTTGAACAATGGTTGCACTGAGAAGACTTTCAGTGGTTATATTGCTCAGTCTGATTGATATTCTTTGGTCAGACTTTAGATTCTAGCCCCTAACTGCTTGCACTATGGCACACTATACTTTGTTTCATCTTGGCTTTGTTATTTCCAAAGTGAAACACTTTGCAATTATCTGATTGAACTTGTCCTGTTCCAGACCACTCATCCCAAGTTCACCCGTTCCATTTCTTCTTTTACAATGTTGAGCTTACTTTGATTTCTATTTCTCACATTCCATGTTTCAGTTAGGTCTGCGTACTTCAAAACTAGAGACCCTTTCAGCTATAATCCAGTATGGCTTCATTAAGAATCGCAGTATTTCTATTCTACCTTTGCTTTGAATACATTCCAATCTGGAAGTCTCATCTTCCAGCACTATCTCAATTTGCTCATTACATGGCTTTTATGGTACGAGATATTCAGAAGTGTTTTAGTATAGCCTTCTTCTGTGTGGCCCCAGCACTGTCTTTGTCTACAGAAGATCTGGGAGTGTCCCTTTCAGCTACTGCTGCTGCCCTCCAGATGTTTCTCCACCCCGTCACCCTTGGAAGGATCGCTTTTGTTCTGCTGATACAATCATGAATTCCAGAAGATTCATTTCCAGAGTCTGGTGCCTCCACTTTGACCATTCCATGTTGGGCGCCCCTGCCATGAGTCCAGAGACTCGTCATGGAGCCTAGACACGCGGAGATATTGCTCTGGGCCCACACACACATTCAAGCCCTCCCCTTCCTATTTTAAGGCATGCTATCCAGGAGGAGACCTCTAGCAGAGAAATCGCTCACCAAGCCACAAGTCCTGGGATGCCTGCAAAGAGGCCATGAGACCCTTTGCATGGTATCAAAGGACGACCACGGCAAACGCAGGATCAAAAGTTTGATTTAAGGTTATGTCCTTTGTGGGCGTTTAATGGCAGAAGGCGAAGGCAGCAGCATAAGGTGTGATCCGGAGTGGAAGGCTAGTTCCACTGCTCTCACCTGCTTCTAAAACAGGATTCTCCCCCCCCCCCATGGTCCCCCAAAAACTGGAGGCCTATGAGGAGACCACCGTTGGAAGGGTTTCCTCGTGGAGCCTATGATTGCTTACCAAGAGCGACATTCATGAGGCAGTTCAACTCCTTGTACAAGACCAAAGCGATTCTGCAGACCTGCAGGAGAGGAAGCAAAGAAGGTGGCCCAGCCATTGGCCGTCGATTCAAAATGGTCCCCAGGGAAACATCACCCCACGGTTGCCACTTACTCTGCACAACACTGGGTCTGATCCAGATCCCCAGGAAGCCTGCGGGGAACGCCTCTTAGGCAGTGGTTCTCCAACTGGGGTCCCCAGATGTTCTTGGAATGCAACTCCCAGAAATCCTGGCCAGTACAGCTGATGGTGAAAAGGCTTCTGGGAGTTTTAGTCCAAGAACATCTGGGGACCCCAGTTGGAGAAGAGGACCTTCTTCCTGCGTCTTTTCCCAACACCCGTTTTCCTAGCAGCTTCTGTCACTCTTGAACCCCGACCCTCTCCCAAGATAGGTCTTCTGGGGCAAGATAGATCTTCTCTGTCTTTCTCATTATGTCCCAGCAATCACTCTCCTGAAGAACCTGGCTTCTGCCATCCTGGAAAGGAAAAAAAAAACCCTACTTTCTCCAAGAAAGGCATTTACAAGTTTGTTAAGTCTTTTTTGCGCTTATACTACGTCTTGTTTAAGGTCCATTTTCAAGACTCTAAAAATGCCAGTAGCAGTGTTGGGACTCAGATGAAATAAAGTAAATATTAATGAGGTGAAAACTGTCATCCTGTAGAGCAGGCATTTCTAAACCTGGGTGACCCAGGTGTGTTCTCAGATGGCAACTCCCACAAATCCTGGCCAGCACTGCGGGTGGCGAGGGCTTCTGGGAGCGGCAGTCCAAGAACATACCGGGGTCACCCAAGGTTGAGGACCACCGGCTGTAGAGAATATATTGTACCATGAGACTGTACGGCAAAGAGGATAGCTAGGAGGCAAAGGGGGGGGGGTCAAGGGGAAAAAGTGACACACACACACACACCCAGAGCGACCAAGAGGCCACGCAGTTGGCAAAGAGAGAGCAAGCCAGGTTGAGAGGACATGGCTTGCAGAGGACATAACGATCAAGGGTGCAAACGCTTTGTGACTGTGGAAATCCTGCACCCTGCCTGTACTGATTCTGTACTCCACCAGTAGTGCCTGTACCACTGGTAGGAAATCCCTGTTTGATTACAAGCTCCCACATCACTCAAAGTAAATTCTTTCTCCGTCCATCCTCGACACTGTTACCACCAATATCCACCTACGCCTGCCATCTCCCCCTTGGTTTTGAGACTGTAGTAGGGTAAAACTTCGCTAATATCATAAATACAACCATGGAAGGCTTTGTCAACGTACGAGCACCTTGCCGAAGGTTCCCAACGAGATCCTGGGCAACGGCAGGGATTTCTACGCTCACCCTGCGAAGGAAAGAGAGAACAGAGCTGAGCTAGAAGAGCCATCGGGCAGAGGCAAGAAGCTGCTCCTTCCTCTTCCTCCCTCCAGGCAGTAGCCTACAGTGGCTGGAGGAAGCCTGAGAGAGAAACACACACACACACACACACACACACACACACACACACACACACACACACACACACACACACACACACTTTTCAGGGGGTCTCAGCAGCTTTGGATACCATCATCCATGGTATTTTCCTGGCCCGTCTCTTTCTGGAATGGGAATTGGTGGCACTGTTTTACGGTGGCTCAGATCCTTCCAGGAGGAGAGAACTCAGAAGGTGGTGTTGGGAGGACTCCCGTTAGGCATGCTGACCATTGGGAGAGGTTGCCCAGAGCTCTGGGGTTTGGAGCCATAGATACGCAGGCGGCACTTACCTATCTCTCTCCTTTCTCTCCAATTCCAAGGAAGCTCTCTTAGTCCAAAACTGCTCCACAAGTTAGCTCTCCTCCTAGATTGATCCCTAAATCTGGATGCCCAAGTTTCAGCCACGGCCAGAAGTGCATTTCCATAGTCAAAACTAGTGTGTCAGCTGCACCTGTTCCTAGAGATGTCTGGTTTAGCTAGAGTTACACATGCCTTCCTGACATCCCGCTTGGATTCCAGTGACACGCTCTAAGTGGGCTCCGCCTTTGAAGATGG